CTGGAAACAGTGGACTTATTAGAAATTCAAGAAGAGGATAAAGAAATGCTGAATGCAAATACAAAAGGAAGAGATTTGTAATGCTATAGAAGATGCAAAATTGGGGAAAGCTCCGGGACCAGATAGATTTACTGCAAAGTTTTATAAAAAAATTAAAAGAGGAGCTGGCCCCTATGTTTGTGTCTTTAATGAATGATGTGAGAGAGTCTAAGAAAATTCCGGAGTCATGGAAAGAAGCTAATATATCGTTGAAACCTAAAGAAGGACAAGATTTGACTGATGTTAAGAATTATAGACCTATTTCTCTGCTTAACAATGACTATAAGTTATTTGCCAAGATAATTGCAGAATGAGTTAAGAACTATCTAAAAAAGGTTATTAAAGAAGAACAAGCCGTTTTTTTGCCAAATAGACAAATTAGAGACAATTTGAGAATGGTGTTTACATACAATTTCAATTCCTATCTGGGGCCACATTATATAGGGAAGTGACTTCCTACCGGCACCCAGGCAGAAGGGCTTGTTGTTATCCGGCTCCTTCAAGCGGGCTTCAGGTGTCGGCGTTCCACCTCCCGGTGCCTTGAAACAGGTCTTTTTCAGTCCAGCGGCTTCCTCCGGCGGGCCCATCCTGGTGCGCGGCCCCGTGCCAGCTGCAGCTCTGGCTCACGTCCTGCTGGTTCCGCCGCGCTACCACGTCACCGCGCCCCCACGACTCCGCCTCAACCGGACTCCGTTGCTCGACGTTGTGCTCACTGGGTCGCCAGGGCTGCTCACCCACCGCACTGCTTCCGCTACTTCGCCGCCACCACCGATGCTCCTGCTGCACACCTCACAAGGAGGAGGGTGCCCCCTGCCACCTAGGGGCAGGTACCCAATTTATCTACTTGCTATTTTTAGTGCTTTCAAACCGCTGGGTGGGCGAGAGCTGGGACTAGGGCCGGGAGCTCACCCCGGCCACGGTGGGTCTCGAACAGCCATAGTGGCTGTTCATTGATGTTACAGCAGGTGTTTTGCAGCCTGCGCCACCACTCAAAAGGCATTTGATAATTTGAATTGGGACTTTATGTTTCAAGTGATGGAGAAAATGGAAATTGGTAAAAAAAAATTAAATTTAATTAAGGCAATCTATTGTGAACAAAAAGCATCATTGATTGTGAATAAAGAAACGACAGAACATTTTGAAGTGCAAAAAGGTACGAGACAGGGGTGTCCATTATCCCCACTATTGTTTATTTGGATTTTGGAAGTGTTATTGACTAAAGTAAGAGAAGAGCAAGAAATTAAAGGATTGAACTTAAAAGTATTTTCATATAAGTACAGGGCATTTGCAGACGATGTGATGTTCGTGGTGGATGAGCCGTTAAAGACTTTGCCGATGTTAATGGACTTAATTAAATTTTTTGGAGATTTGGCCGGATTCTATCTCAATAAGAAGACAAAGGTGTTATGTAAAAATATGACTAAACAAAAACAACAAGAAGTACAAGAAAAAATACAATGTGAGGTAGTCAAGTAAACAAAATATTTAGGCATCGATTTGACTATGAAAAATATAGACTTATTTAAGAATAATTATGAAATTTTATGGAAGAAGGTGCAACAAGATATAAAGAAATGGGATGCCTTGAATTTGTCGCTGCTGGGAAGGATCTCGGCGGTTAAAATGAATGTTCTACCACGCTTGATGTTTTTATTTCAGACTATTCCGATTGTAAGAGAAACTAAGGTGTTTGATAGTTGGCAAAAAGAAATATCGAGATTTGTATGGGCGGGGCGGAAACCAAGAATAAAAATGAAAATATTATGTGATGCAAAGGAACGGGGAGGTTTCCAGCTGCCCAATTTGAAGTTGTACCATGAGGCGGCGTGCCTGATGTGGTTGGAGCAATGGATAAATTTGGACAACAAGAAATTGTTAACTCTTGAGGGTCATGATTGTAGGTTTGGTTGGCATGCCTATCTATGGTATGATAAAGTCAAAATGGATAATTTTTTCAAACACCATGTTATTAGAAAAACTGTAATGGAGACTTGGATGAGATACAAAAGATTTTTTTTAATGCTAGGCCCATGTGGATTGTACCAGCTGAAGTGATTAAACCATTTTCAAGACATGAAGGGAAAGATTGGTTGTCCTATAAAGATATTCTGAAGGGGGATGAGAAAAATTTTGAAATGAAAGAAAAGGAAGAGTTAGACTTTGAATATGATTGGTTGAACTATTGGCAAATTCGTGATTTGTTTAAGACTGATAAAAGAAAATACGGTTTTAGATGGAAAAACAATGAAATTGAATGTGTATGGGCAGATAGGGGAAAGATGATATCAAAGTTGTATAAAATTTTATTAAAATGGTACACTGAGGATGAAATTGTAAAAGGGCAAATGATTAAATGGGCTATAAATATGAATAAGGAAATACCTATGTCATCTTGGGAATATTTATGGAAGATTTCAATGAAAATTTCAACTTGTAATAATTTGAAGGAAAATTGTTTTAAGATGATGTATAGATGGTATATGACCCCTAAAAAATTGCAAATATGAGTGAAAATATGTCTAATAAGTGTTGGAAATGTAAAAACCATGAAGGCTCTTTGTATCATATGTGGTGGACTTGTGAAAAAGCTTTGGCTTATTGGACATTGGTCCATAATGAGATGCAGAAAATTTTAAAAGGTACATTTAAAAAAGAACCAGAAATATTGCTTCTGGGCCTTAAAATGGGAGAAGTCAATGTATCGAAAAAGACATTGTTATGGTATTTGATTACAACTGCGAGAATGACTTTTGCACAATTTTGGAAACAAGATAAAGTGCCAGAGATTTGGGACTGGATAAAAAAAATGCTCTTTATGGCAGAAATGGATAAACTGACAAGAAAACTTAATGGTAAAGAAGACGAAGAATTTTATGAAGAATGGAAAGACTTTAGAAGAAAAATGGGATGCAAAAAATTCTTTGATAAATTTTAATAATTATTAGAATGGACTATGGGAATATAATTTACAGAAATGATGTATCTAAGTAAAGTTACCTTAATAAGAAGTTATAATATGTAGAAAGTTAAGTTGAAAAATAAGATAAGATAATAAGGGGGAAATCACACTGTGGGAAGCCATGTAACGGGGAAGGGAGTTAATTGAAAATGGATATATAAAAATGAAATAATTTGAATGAATGAATGTGATGATGTAGCCTAAGAATAACATTGTTTTTTTAAAAAAACATGCACATTTGCCAATTAGAAGGCACAGGTGGGCATTAAATCATGACTTTTGGCACCGATTAAAAAGGGTCAATTATTTGTATTGTAGAACAGTGTCTCCTACAGGCTAAACTGAGCTATGTGTTTTACATAGTATAAACTTCAATTCTAACAGAACAAGTTTCATGAAATAATCAAGAATAATTCTGTAAAATTTCCTGATGAACCAAAATGAATAATAATGTGTAAATCAATACATCTATAAGAGCTTAATGCTACAAGGTATTTTGAAACACTAAAAGAATTCATGTAAAGAGTTTAATGCTTTAGAATGTCATTGTGATTATATGTTTTCATATTTTGAGTGAAAATAAGTTTATAAAATGCTTTAAGATACTTTTATATACATGTATTAAGTGTAAAGAAGAACTAAGTTTGTAGAATTTTGTAACTGAACTGATAGAATGTAGTATTGAGAATGAACTGAGTCTGAAAGTTCAGTCAGAGGTAACAGGAGTCTGGGAGGAGTGCCAAAGGAGTAAACAAAAGTTATAAATTAGAAATAATGAACTGCACCTGTGTTGTAGGAGTGGGAAATTCAGCCAACTACCATCCTGTGTGCCAAATATGTGATTGATGACTGACTAGACAAAGAAAACTAAACTGAGCATGTCTACATGATGTCAGTGATGATGTAAAGTGAGGAGGAGCAAAAAGAGTATATAAGTCTGTTCATTGCATTTGCTTGTTGAATACCCAGGCTGAATTAAGCTGGTCTATGACTGTAATAAACAATTCAATTGATTTTGTGCATACCTTGACTGAAGTTCGTTCTTTTGATTCAGCATAAACTGCCTCTGAACACAGACATCCAGAGCTCTTTTTTCCTCTGACAGCCACTTTGGCAGAGTCATTGGCTCCAACTCAAAATTTCCCCTTGTGCTAGAGCACAAGTGGGAAGACAAGCAAAAAGACCACAGTAGCCACCCGCACCAGATTAAACTTATTGCATCCCCACTTGTGTTTCCGTTTGTGCAATGCAATGTGCAACCCATTCTATAATACGCAGCAAGGAAAGCTCTTGGTGTTGCACAAGATATTGCACTAGTGAATTGTACTACGTCTGTTTATATTTCTGCTTGCCCATTTCTTGATCCAAGTTATTATTTATAAGTAGTTGTTCTTATGCCAATCTTGGTATTCATAAGGAAAACTATGATGACTCCTGATGTGCATAGGAAAGGAGGGTCTTTTTTCAGTCCTCTTATAGGGCATACAGGTAGCTCTCCAGGTAGGTGTTCAAATTCAGCCTTCCCTTCCTCTCACAATTTCTGTTTCTTTTTGTTTAACTATCTTTCAGTCACTGGGTAGTTGCAGCCGTATGCCAGAGAAACATCAGAATCTGTCCCTGGTACCACAGTAGTGATTCTGAGGGCAACACTACATGTGATGATACCCAAATACTAAAAATCACACCCACACAATCAGATAGGCCCAGGGTTTCTCTTGCATTAGCGTCCTGCTTCATTGTCAAGTGGCTGAGGCTAGGGAGGGGCTTTAAGAAAGCATGGCAGTTCTCTGCATGGGGCAGGGATAGGGGGTGGCCTTCTCCACATTTCTGTTCAATCTTTTCAGATGTCCTTTATTTGAATTGTTTTATGTTTTAACTTGCTAGCTACAGTCTTCTCTTGTGTGGATTAATCCGGTAGAGGTATTTGGCTGTGGCGTGTACGGTGGCTCCGTGTGGCAATCAGGCTGTAACCATTACTCTATAATGTCTCTTCAAATTCCAGGTCCTGTGGCAGTTGGAAACGACTCGCCTCATTAACCACTTAGAGAAAACCATGCGCAAGAGAAATGAGCCTCATGATTTATATATTGTGGAAGGAGACAAGGAAACACCATGCTACGATTATACCAGTTCTGACTTGGAGAGAGACCTCAGCATCCCTTTGTTTGAAATACTGAAATACCCGTATCTGCTGCTTAATAAGCATCTCAGTGAGTATCCGACAGGGCATGTTCTGTGAATGTAACTGGAACTGGTAAACGTTGTGATACTAAAAAAGGTTGATAAGAAGAGAAGGATCGATTTTTCACTCTGTCAACTGAGGGTAGAACATGAAGCCAAGTGAGCATATGCAGTAGAGTTAAATGGCCTGGGAAATAAGATTCTGTAATAGGAGTTTAATGAAGGATAAGGGGCCATAGTGAGATGGTGGCATCTTCTCCGCGGGATGTTCTGGGGGGGGGGGAAGCCGGGCGAACATCAATCAGATGGTTTTAGTTATACATGATATATCCCAGTTGGTCAGCCGTGTTGATCTGAAGCAGCAGAACAAATTTAGAGTCCAGTGGCATCTTTAAGACCAACAAAAGTTGGTCTTTTGCTCCTACCTTGAATAAACCTAGGTTGGTCTTAAAGGTGCCACTGGACTCTAAATTTGTTCTGTGATATATCCCAGTATCAGATGGTACTCTGAATCCAGATGTCCCCACAGAGTCTTTCCTGTATTATTATTATTATTATTATTTGATCATGACTCTTTTCTCATGAAAATAAGTTTTCCTTCATTCAGTGACCATTCAGCTTCCATAACTTTATTCTCCATCTTTGGCTTGCAGGTGACTTGTGGGTTGAGGCGCTTTTTGAAGTAGAGAAAATCAACTACAACTATGAGGTTACTGGCAAACATCCAGGGATTTATCTGCTTGTGGTTCACCCTAATGAACAAGTGAGCTGTTTTATACTACTTTCCATTCTTTTCTCTTTTTTGTATAAAACGTTTTGAATAAATATTAGACCTTGCGCATTAATATTGGCTGCAGACAATCTTTTTATGCTCCCACCTTATGACATAAGAACACAAGATGAGCCCTGCTGGATCAGGCCAGTGGTCTATCTAGTCCAGTATCCTGTCTCACACAATGGCCAACCAGCTCCTCTGGAGGGCCAACAACAGGGCATAGAGGCCAAGGCCTTCCCCTGATGTTGCCTCCTGGCTCTGCTAAATAAAGAGTTGAATTCTGAAATGCATTCATAGATGTCATTCTAGGTAAATTGTATGGAGTTGTTTTCAGCTAGTTCCAGGGCCCATTCAGATGTTTGAGATACGTCCGCTCATTCTCAGGCATGGACCATGCGCCTCTCCTACCTCCTGCTTTTGAGGAGAAAGGGATATTTTGTCCAGGATTAGGGTTAGGGTGCTCCACATTTCGGTGAACACAGTGTCCCTCTATTCTCCTTTAGGTCTCCCTTATTTTCCCACAGTGAATACCTTCATAATGATCATTTGTCAAGTGTCTAGTAGTTGAGCCAGTACTACTTGCAGATTTCTGACCCCACGCAGATGGGGGGGACAACATAAGTGTTCCTGCCCAGCCATTGGAGAGCTATAAATATTCAGGACTTTCAAAGAGATCCAGTTCAGTGGCTTTGAACAAAATAATCAGCAGGTACATAGGTCAATCTAATCCAGCATCCTATCTCACACAGTGGCCAACCAGCTCTTCTGGAGGGCCAACAACAGGGCACAGAGGCCAAGGCCTTCCTCTGATGTTGCCTCTTGGCTCTGGGATTCAGAGGCTTGGTGCCTCTGAGTGTGGAGGATAAGAACATAAGAAGAGCCCTACTGCATCAGACCAGTGGTCCAACTAGTCCAGCATTCTGTCTCACATGGTGGCCAACCAGCTCCTCTGGAGGTCCAACAACAGAGCATAGAGGCCAAGGCCTTCTGCTGAGGTTGCCTCCTGGCTCTGGGATTCAGAGGTTTAGTGCCTCTGAATGTGGAGGTTCCCTTCCGTAACCATGGCTAGTAGCCGTTCATAGATATATCGTCCATGAATCTATCTAATCTATCTAATCCCCTTTTAAAACTGTTTATTCCTGTGGCCACCACTACTGTTTGGGTTCTTGTTCACTTCCTTCAATAAAACTTTTTGTTTTTCACCCTAAATAGATGACACTATACCGCTAGTCCAAGGAACAGCATCTGCCCAATTTCAGACAGGCAAGAATGTCCTCACCTTGCAGGTTTAAGTTGAAACTTGTTCCAGAAAGAAAGATCTGTTTTGATTGAAAGCTGCATCTTTACATGAGAATCCCTTTTGAAAAATGAGTTTCTTTTTGTATTTTTATGCTGATTGGATAGGTAGCTGTCCAGATGCAAATAGCATCCCTTTTTCCTTTTCTCTCTTTAAGAGTCACAGGTCTTCATTTTAATGGTCTCTAGTATTTGGTTTTCGGTCTCTCGTCTCTCTAAAATTTGGCAGGTGTGAAAAGTTACAGTCCCTGAAAATTTCATTCTGGTTTGGTGGAAAATGTTCACGGCTGGGAATGTTTCCCATTGAAACCAGTGGCAGCGATTCATTTTGATTCCTGTTCTTTAGAGTTTCAAAATGAATAGAGCTTTTTTTGGCTTTCCTCTTTCTCTTCCTTTTTTTGAAAGGCGTGCCCATTGCTACTGACTTGTGACAGATGAGAAGAGGGTAGCTTATCATGAAGACACCACATTCAAACAAGTCTCTTCACTCTGTGGAGGAGAACCTTTGATTTAGCAAGAATATTTCACAACAGATTGTACTTTGTGCTGTTGACATTCTAGAGCGATGGATTTGAGCCTCTGCTAAAATATTTTCTCCAGCCGTAAAAGGGATCACTGATTTTTTTGCCAGTTATTTTGGGATACAGGGGTGGGGGGACAGGTGTCCTCAGTGCATGCTTTTGGAGAGCATAGCAGGCAGCGGGGGGGGGGGGAAAGGTTAACTTTCCACTGATGATAGGTAAGGTCCACCATGGTGAGCGTTGTCTGACTTCTTCCAATAATAATTTCTAGTCTCTCTTCAAACCCACAGATCCGCCGGTGGGCCATCCGAACAGCCACGAATCTGGGGGAGGTGGACAGGGATGACTACTACGACATACAGGAAGTGTTCACTTGCTTGTTCAAAGTGATTGATTTGGACTTGTTTGAAAACCCTTATATTTATAACTCTGCCGAGTTAGAGGAGGGAAGACTCAACCTCTTGCCCCCCCATCTCTATGATACCAACGACCACAAAAGCTTCTGGCTAGGTGAGCAGGCATTCTGTCATAGGAGCTTATTTGTGCAGATTCCTAGAGTGTCCCATTCCCGGAGTCCACGGTGGGTTAACAGGGTTAAAATCAAAATCTGATGCAATTCATGGACCAAAAGCCTTAAACGCTGAAACAACATCATTTCAGTTTTAACCTGTTGGATTTGTGTTAATTCATCGATCATTCGAGTCGTACAATTTAACCTCAGCTTTAAAAGCCAGCTTTAAATAAAATATGTTTGCAGAGTTGCGGGTGACAGCAGCACCTGACTCAGCTAGCGAAGGAAGGGCCCTTGAGCATATACTCAGCTGCTAGGGAATACCAACTCCATAGCGTAACTGAAATGAGAACACAACAATAGATTAGAAAGAAGAATAAAAAAAGCAAATTGCAGACATGGTGAAGAAGTTGAATACAAAGACAAAGCAACTGAAACGGCAAATAATAAGGTCAGGCAGCCAATGGTTATATGGTGGTGGAGCTGAATCAAGCCTCCAGCATTCTGGCCTTTAGCCTCCCCAACAGCACATTTCTGCCGTAAAGCTAAGTGCCGTAAATGATAAATTGGGAGGCTCTCAGGGCTATGGATAACTCAAATCAGTTTCCTTCCAAGCACCCTAACAGCCAGGCTTGAGCAGATGTGGGCCCAGATGTCCTTTTTAGTGCCCACTCTCTTTTCCAAGGGGCAAGAACCATGTTCTCACAACATTACCCAATGGTGCCCAAATCATTGCCCTGATATCACTAGACTTGGCTTCTCAAGGCTTTTACCCTTATGCTGTATCTGACTTCCTTGCTTCCCAGGGTTGCTTGTGGCAACTTGATATCTAGGAATTTTTTGCACCCCGTGTTGATTCTGCAGACCGTCAAGTACCTGTTTCCACTCAAGCGTCTTTAAGGTGTCTTTCTTTTGAACACCCAGAGTGATATAGGGTTTCTCTAATGGACTGCATAATCCTGCTGCAGATGGCATTTTAACTTTGATGGTACCGGGCTTTTAAAATCTTGTTTGCAACCTCACGCTTCCACCGAAGCCCATCACTCTTCCTTCAGGAAGCATTCTCTCAAATCCCTGAGATGCTTTAAATATCCTGGGCTGAAGCGCTTCTTAATTTCAAAATATTAGGCTTGTAAAAGCATCTGGAATGCTCTTGAAAATCCAGTGAATTATATGGCTGTGTAGAACAAAAAATCCCTTGGGGTTAACATATCAAATATATTTTTTTTTCCTTTCAACCCTAATTTTTGTGCAAGCTGGCTGCCAGTAAATAGCTCAGCACAATTTTGGGTGAATCCCACAACTAGCCCACCATTGGCTTTTTGTACCTTAAAGGTAAAGGTAAAGGTTCCCTTGCTCGAAAGCCAGTCGAATCCGACTCTAGGGTTGCGGTGCTCATCTCCGTTTCAAAGCCGAAGAGCCAGCGCTGTCCGAAGACGTTTCCGTGGTCATGTGGCCGGCATGACTAAACACCAAGGCACACAGGAACGCTGTTCCCTTCCCACCGAAGTGGTCCCTATTTATCTACTTGCAATTTCTTGCTTTCGAACTGCTAGGTTGGCAGGAGCTGGAACTAGAGACGGGAGCGCACTCCGTCATGCGGCACGCGGGTCTCGAACTGCTGAACTACCGACCTTCCACAGCCTGCAGCTCAGCGTCTTAACCACTTGAGCTACCTTGGCCTTCACATAAAACAGTCCACTTGATTTATTTTACCAGAGAGAGATGTGAAGCTTGATCTTCCTCCCCCAGTGTGCCAGTCCAGCATCTAAGGACTTGAAAGTATCTCACAGGATTATATGGTCAGAGGTTTGCTGTGGGCAAAAGCACATTTTTGGTGTGAAAAGCACTTTGGAGCATTACTCCCGTTCTTCTGGCCATTGCTTTATACAGGCCTTGTATAATCCTGTTTCTGAAAATTAAACAGTTATTTCCAGAATGGATCTCAGTGCTGCTAACAACACACTGCTAATCACATGCCTCGACAGATAACAGTAGCTTCTTACGCACACCAGGGATGAGCAATTGTTTAAAATCCCTTTTATTCCAAGATGAATTATTTGAACCAATTCATGCTGAGTTCCTTAGTTTGGTGTAGTGGTTAAGTGCGCGGACTCTGATCTGGGAGAACCGGGTTTGGTTCCCCACTCCTCCACTTGCACCTTGGGCAAGCCATAGTTCTGGCACAGCTATTCTTGAAAAAGAGCAGTTTCTGTCAGAGCTCTCTCAGCCCCACCTACCTCACAGGGTGTCTGTTGTGGGGAGGGGAAGGGAAAGGAGTTTGTAAGCCGCTCTGAGACTCCTTTGGGTAGTGAAGGGCGGGGTATAAATCTAATCTCCTTCCTCCTCCTCCTCCCTTCTGTGTCCAGGTGCTTTTTATTGTGGAGTTAGGCCACCTGGGATCCTTCACTTGTTTTGAGTCATTTTAAAAGCATATTTTTTTATCTTAAAAGCATCTCCGATGGTTACTTGAATTGTGGGCAAGTTCTCGTTTCCATTTTCTGTGGTCTTTAAAAGGAACTTTAAGAAAAAGTTGGTTTTATAGTCAGGGCTAGACTCCTGTATCTCTAAATAGTACCAACATATTAGGTCCAAAATTTCTATTGGCATCAACTTGGAGTCCCTAACTAATTGCAATGAGAACCAATTATTTCACATGATCTGTCATAGAATTTGAGATATTGAGAGCCAGACCATTGCTGTGGGAACCAACATGATTTGCTCTCCTTGTTTTCATGGCCTGCGGTTCACGCCAGGGCTAGGAGCTGCTTACATGCAAAAACTGACCAATCCTCGACAGAGTCGGGCCTTAATGCTCGCTAGACTGAATATTTTCCATTCAGCTGTTCTTTCAGGCAGATATCATAACCTACCTTTTAAGAATAGACTGTAAATTCTGTTTACTGGAACCTGACACCTTTTCCCATATTTTACTTTGCTGTCCCATGCACAGTAAGGTTCGTCAACAACTCCTTGATCCTGTTATTTCCAGCCTCTCTGCCCCCCCAGAGAGAATTACTCAATATTTACTTGCTGATAAATCCATCAAACTGACAGAACATGTGGCTGAGTATTTGGCTATTGTGTTGAATAAGGGTAACTGTGTTTCTAAGGCCAAGGCAGAGAATGCTTGATTAATTTTGCTCTTACTCCCGACAGTTTTATTGCCCCATCTGGACTGTACTATTTCTATTTTATTTATGTAAGATTATTCTGCATTTTATTACTTTTTATGCCATCAAAGGTTTCGGAATCTGAATCTGATCTAGTCGGGGCCATATGATAAATAAATAATAAATATAGTTAGGGTTTTCCAACAGCTTTTGACATCACAGTTATGAATTCGTCCCTATTGTCTCAATGTTAACTAGGCCTCAAGTAGTGCCATCCTCACCAGACTTACATCCTTCTGAGACAGTTGACTTAAATAGACTTGGATGAGTGTAACTCTGCCTAGGACGGCACTGTAAGTTGCTCAGGACCAGATCACCAGCTACAGAACAGAAGGAAACGTATTTCATACTCTTAATCCTGAAAGATGGGAAAGTGCATTACGTGTGTGAGTGTATGTGCAACTTATCAAAATACCAACCTGATGGATCTGTTGCCATCTTTTTCTGGCGGGCAGGAGCTGTGAATCGCTGATCCAAATCTTGCTTCTGCTCTTGAGTTCACTAGTGTAGAGTAATAACCATGCAGGGTTTTTACTCTCTAGGTTAAGAAATTCGGGGCACTAAAGCTCAAAAAGGTCAAGTTTAATTTGATTGCGATGACCTCCTCTTTAAATATTTCCAAGGCTGGTAAGGTATTCTGCTAAGCCATTCAAATGCAATGGAGCCTTCCCCCCCCCCCCCCTTTCAAGTGGGCAAAAGAAAAAACTCATTATTTAGTTATCTTGGTTACCAAAAACCAGTCCTCAAAAAATAATTACTATGCCTCTCCCCACCCCCTGTTGTTATAGGGACAACTTCAGATCTTCTATGTAGCAACAGCTGCTTGTTTTCAACTTGCCTCTTCATCTCTGCAACAAAACAGTCTTTGTTGTGTTTGCTGAATCTGCTGGGGATGCATTTGAGACTTTAAATGGGCCCCTCAGCCTATTGGATTTCAGATGCAGCACTCTTTGCTTGTAATCTGCCCCCATCTAGAGATGGCAGACCACCCTAGGTCAGCCAGGAATTCTTCTCTTTAATGTATCTGCCTGCGTGTGAGGGACAAGGATTTCTGTTTCCCCCCAAGTATTTCTGGTTGGTGTTCTTAGAGCAGTCAGCTTGTGGGGAAACTAAACAGGAAGTCTCTCGAAGCTAAAGAGACAAATTGTAAAAGGTCTTATTATGAATGAATGTACACGTACACACACACGCAAACACAAGCTAACAGGGAATTCTAAAAAGGTGAAACTGCAGAATATAGAAAACAAATGCAGTTTGCTTGCTAACTTAAAGGGTGTTGCCCTTCCACAGCAGATGCAATAAGGGCTTGCTCCATTCTGCCCCCATATTTTAAGGGGTTCTTTGGGGCAGGGAGTTCCTGCCTGGTCCAAAAGAAAGCGGAGCATCTATTCAAACCTCCTGCAAAAGGATGATTTAACCAACAGACTTTTACCTTGGGATTCAGAGTCGTCTTGCTCCTGGCTCTCTTTAGCACGAAAGGGTGAGTGAGTGCCGAGGGGAAATTCTGGGGTGTCGGACCAGAAGAAATGCTCCATGGCTTCCTGCTGGGTTGAAGCAAATTGTGACGGCCGTCCGGCAGTGTTCCCTCTAAGCTGAGTGAGTGTGAGCTTTTAGCTTCTGACTCACACATTTTTGTCTTAGCTCAGGAAGGAGGGCTCCAGAGCAAACTAATTTATGCAGCAGCCAAATCTCCTGCTCACAACTTTAATGTCAATAGCTCACAAAGTAGAATTTTTGCTCACAGGGCTCCATAGCTTAGAGGGAACTTTGCCGGGTCTCCTCCCCTAGGTGCACCCCCCTCCCCCCAGATCTGGGATGGTTGCATGCTTTGTCCATTTCCTTGGAGTAGAGTTTTGTGCTTCACTGCAAACTCAAAACTGTTGCAAAGGGGCAGCTATGTAAATCCAGTGGCACCTTAGACTAGCACCACTATGAGCTTTTGTGAGTCACAGCTCACTTCTTCAGACAGGCCTGTTTCTTTCGAGAAGAGGGTTTTCCCATAACACGCATGACTTGACTTAATTCCACATAACATTTCCTGCATTCCATCTGTGCATTGTTACAGCGTGCAGACAGAGAGGCCTGTCCATCATGGCCAGCGGCATCTTTTCTCTACCCTCCCCATTTTTTTGTTTGGAATTCAGCGTGACAAAGAGCTCCGTGAAACTGAAATGCTTCCTCGCTAATTTGTGACGTTTTACTATCAGAAAGTATCAGGTTGGTTGTGAATGTTTCTAATAGAACAACACAGCTCATGTGTCCCCCCCCCCCTTTCCCAAGTAGGCTGGCTGATTCCCAGTAGCATGAGACTGATTTACTCAAACCTTCAAATTTATCCGTGCACCTCGGTGTTTAGTCATGCCGGCCACATGACCACAGAAATGTCTTTGGACAGCGCTGGCTCTTCGGATTTGAAACGGAGATGAGCCCCGTAACCCTAGAGTCGGATTTGACTGGCTTTCGAGCAAGGGAACCTTTACCTTTACATAAGCCAAAACATTCCCCCCCCCGACCCATCTGTAAAATAATTTGCTTCTAAATAGATTAACAAAAAAATAAAAATAAAAATGAAGTTTCTTCCTTACAGAGATAAACATTCAATGTTTTCAATTGAGCCTGATTTCTGGAGGAAGAGGTGGTTTTTAAAAAATATCTTAAGGGTTTTAAATTGTTATTTTTTCATATTTAATACAAAGAAAACATACAGGAAGAATGAAGTAATAGAAAACAGCTAAAGAGAATATATACTCTTATTTAAAAAGAATAATGGATCAGAGATCATCATTACTTGAGTCCTCTGAAAAATTAATGCTCATTGCTGTTTCAAGGTTAAGCATGACTTCCTGAGGAAGAGGGTGTTTTTTAACATGCATAGTACAGCTTCCTTTAAATCTTTTGCGGGCTGAGTTTGCCGTCTCCAGTGTTCTCTGGGTCTGGTTGCGGTTTAAGTAGTGCCATCAGTGTTAAGGTGGCATTTCACAAAGTAACATAAACAAACCAGGAACCTACAATCTACACTTGGATCACAGAAAAGAATGCAAGTGCAGCTGCACCTATTTGGGGGTTGAAACGGAGACTGACTGCAGATTGTAAAAACTGCTTTATTTTCATTGTAGGCATTTGCATGTTGCTAACGGTATTGGAAGAACAAGCTATGGATTCACTGTTACTTGGCCCAGAAAAGCAGAATGACTTCATGCAATGCATACTCACCACGCTGAAGGATCACAAAGATGGTAATCAGTCAGCATTCATTTCGGGAAATAATCGAGCAAATTAACATGGGGATATGAGCATTGACTTTTTTGTGTGTGTGTGTGAAAGCCTTCCTTTTACCTTAATATCACACTGTTCCCTGTTAAAAGCAATTTACTCAGAACTCAGTATAGTGAATTAATTCTAAGAGGGGACAGTATAAAGTGAAGGCAGTTCAGTTCAGTTGATTTCTACAGTCCTTAGACCAGTCATACAAAAAGAAGTACACCTTTACAATATTCCAAGATTTTAAAATACATCAGTAAAAGTGAAGGGTAGTATACCTTCTGTGCGTGCATGGCAGTTTTCCTTGATGGCCTGTTTTTGAGGTGGACAGAAAGCCAGTCAACAGAACTGTTCAGTTATACAATAGCTTGCTTTAAATACCTGAAGGGGGGAAAGGGTAGAGCATCTGTTTGACACGCAGAGGGTCCCTGGTTCAGTCCCTGGCATCTCCAGCTACAGGATCTAGCAGTCGGTGATGTATAAGACCTGTCTCTCTGGCTTAAGTCAGCTAGCCCTGGACAATGTTGATTCCTCATTCGTAACTCTACAACTTGTCGTGGTGGTGTAGGTCACCTTGTTTTTTTTGCACAAGACACTTAAACTTACGCATAACTCTACAACTTGTCGTGGTGATATAGGTCACTTTGGTTTGGGTTTTTTTGCACAAGACACTTAAACTTACGTGATTGTCATCTAATTGTTAAGCGTAGGATATTCCCATCTGAGAGTGGTTGTGGTTATCTTTTTCAGATGAGAAGCAGGATCCCTTCTGGCCAGCACTGCAGTGTTTCATGGTGATCTTGAATCGCCTTGGGTCCAAAGTGTGGGGTCAGCTGACTGAACCAATAAAGGCATTTCAAATCATTATCGACAGTCCGAGCTACAAGAAGAAGATCGAACGCATTCGCCAAAGTTGCAGGAGGTTTGTCCTTTCAGATATTAGAATTTTAAAATGCAGCCGTTATATACATTTTTACATAACCGTTGTAGCTTACAGTGTTCAGGAGTCCAGGTGAGAGCTTGGCTGCTGCAGTGGAAAGAGTGATGGTGGAGAGATGCGTGACATTGCTGGATGCCTCTCTGCAGAAGGCGGAGGGGAGCTTTTTGGAACTAAAACAAATGGGTTTATAATAAAGGCCAAGTGGACTACATTAAAGAGGTCATGACAGAACTAGCAAATAAATTAAAACCAATGCTTAACATTGGGAGCATAAATAAACCCTGCGTGTTTTAGCCAGCAGAACAGGCTATAGACTTTTGTGTAGGAAACACTGTACAGCATCTGTCTGCAAGCAGTCGCAGGGGGCCGCATTGGTCCACAGCAAAATGCAGAACCAAAAAGCCACCTAATATCTTTTATTAAGACCAACCAAAATGATACAAGTCAGTGTGCCTAGGGGTTTGTGTTCTCATCAGGTCGGATATTGGGGGGGTGGAGGTGGAATGCCCAAGGCCATGATCTTTAAGCCTTTGTCTTGTATGCCTCCTGTGTAAAACGCTAAGTAGGTGTGCAGATTTAAAGTAATGCTGGCTGGGCCCCGCTTGCACCCTTGGCGAACCCCAGGAAGGCTGCCTTCAGAGGTGCCCGTGTCACACACACAGCTGGGCTTCTTCCAGGAAGAGCCCTGTTCCTGCTCACATAATATTCAAAGGATGCGGCAGACAGCTGTAAGACTACTAGTGATACTTACAGAGCAAATGCCCTCCCCCCTTTAAATGAAGGAAAGTTTCCCCCTTCCTAAAGTCATAGAGGCTTGGATTCAGCAGAAGATTTCCTGCTGCAGATCCCCCGGAGAAACAGCATTTAAGGGGACATTTGGGGGCTGCAGTGGGGTGGGGTGGGGTGGTCCCACTCCGTGGGAGGAAATCCCTTCCATTTTTAGAAATCATTGGTGGTGGATGCAAGCCAGTGACCTGTTACGGGCTGGATATAAGTTGGCAAAATAACAACTTTGCTGCACTGTTACCAAGATGTCTATCACTATGTCAGGTCGTCTGCGTGGAGGTGAGGTTTGTGTGTGTAGGGTGGGGTAGCATATCGGCTCTGAGAACAAGCAGTGAATCAGGAAGTCCCCAGTTTGGATCTCCCCTCTGCCACGAATGCCTCAGGCAGTCCACACTGTCAGCTGGACCACCCACCCAACCACCCACCCACACCGTTTGCAATATTATGTTCATGCCATCAGCCTTCTAGCACAGTTGTCAGGCTCAGAGTGTACAAGAATCCTGACTGTAGGGTAGAGATGTGAAGGCCCGGAAAAAAAAACGGAAAAAATTGGGAAAAAACCGTGTTTTTCCCCGTTTTTTTCCTGAAGCCTTTTTTGTTTTTTTCCGGAAAATTGGAAAAATTGAAAAAAGAAAAGAAAAGAAATTGATTAGGGAACGTTTTATTTTAACATGATGAATAAAATATTTAAAGACAAGGTGTTCAAATATTTTCCAAATCATTTCTAAAATATATATATCTGATTGATCTAATTTCTGTGCACTGAGGACAAGCAAGTCCTAGGTTACAAACTGAACTCTCCAATGCAAGAACAAGATGCATTTCTTCCTTTAGGAGGTGCGATTGTCAGAAGAAAGTAAAAAAGTTTCCGTTTTGTTTTTGCATGTGGTTGGATATTCTGTTTGTAATAATCGTTTGGATACACTATATTTTTAATATGCTAGTTGTAATAATTTCATGCCAAGTAAAAATGTCCATAGTCATATTTTATGTTCCTAAAGTAACAGAATGACTCTCAATCTAGAAAAGACAAAAGAAATGCTAATGTAGCATTTTTTTTCAATTTTTCCGAAAATTTCCGTTTCCCCCCGGAAAAAACCCGGGTTTTTTTCCAAGCTTCAAAAATTCTGGAAATTTTACATCTCTACTGTAGGGACAAGAATGTATGTCTGTGCACAGTGACACGTGGCCTTCCTCTCCCCCGAGAGCAACACTGCTTGTCACAGCACCATTTCCTAATACAGTGCTTTCCTTTCCCCCCCATAGGAACGGCTGGCAGCTGTTCCGTTGCATGTGACAAAGTAAAGCGAAAGTAAAGAGAACTGGCTTACCTTCCTCACTGCCCCTCTCAGAAGTGGAAGCAGAGTTTCCCCACACTTGGTTCCTCCCATTCCTTTCCCTCAGGGCAGCACGGCCAATGCGATACGTATAAAACCAGATCGACCCTTAACGTTCCGGCATCTTGACCTGGTTCCTCGGCTTTGCTATGGCTGTGCCACAGGCTGTCTTGGCAAAAGAATGTCAGCTGCATTTCTCTTCTAATCTGTGTTCCTGGATGCACAACTCTCAGCCGTTTCTGTAGCACTTCTGAACCACTAAGCTTACATGGGATCGGGCTGCTTCCACTTAACACAGGCTCTTTTGAATCTGGGACATGTAGGGCTATTTGAGGACAAGTTCAGGGGTGGCCACTGAGCTCCTGAAAGGCAACCCAACCCCTTCACCTGCTTTGCCGCCTTCTCCGTCGTTGTTCACACAAGTCCCGTGGACTTCAGGTGGGTCTTGGAGCCCTTCCTACTGGATCACAAATCCCTATAGAGTTGCACCCCCCCCCCTTTTGCTGCCTTTTGGAAGGACCTGCTGTGTAGAGATCAAGGGCGCAATACCTTCTGCCCCTTTTTTGTGTACCTGCTCAGAAGAGCAGCAGGGCAGTGAGGTGAGGTTCCGTGATGGAGAGGAGATTACTTCGTAATTCCGACCGTTGGCTTGTATCTCTCTCTGGTGTACTCACTGGTGCTTGACTTGTGTTTCTTATCCTCATGTCTGTTGAGGTGCCACCCAAGAGTCCTTACCTAGCTCCTCCTCTTCCTGTCACGTGACTTCTGCCACCTGCTTTCCTGGTCACGTGCTTTCAGCTCAAGTGAGTCCTGGCTCTGCGAAGGTTGAAGACCACTGCACGACAGCCTGATAGCACGATCAGTCAGACGCTCGATTATATGACGAGCTGACCTCACTCACTGATACAATACATTAAATGAAACTGTGGTTGCTAGAATGTTAAGGGCTGGCTTTTATAAATATAGATAAGGTTCTCTGGGAAATGGGTTGCGTTTGTGTTTGCCCGAGTGATTTTAACGACCTTGGTTGTATTTGGTGCCTCATTATCAGTAAAGGACGACATATGGAAACAAATCTAGGAATTGTACTGTAAGACACAGGTGGAGGACATGTCAGTGAATTTAGTGGCAGTTTAGTCCATTCTTCTAATAGTGGTCTCCAGCTTTCAGGACAGGGCATGTTCTAGCTTAAAGTACATATGGGGGTATATATTATCCATGGTTTAAAACTTGTCTCTCTTTTTTTTTTTCTTTGAAGGACTAAAACCGAGCCGTTCTTTGACTATGGAGATGAGATGATTACCTCCAGCCAGATGGTGTATAACTACTACACAGAAAAGCTCCCAAAGGTAATTCCTACAAGATCTCGGAGTAGCTTGTTGTCTCCCCTGGAAGTTTTAAAAATGCAGTCCCGTAGTAGAGTGGAAGTATTTGAACGCTGCATTCATGCCAGAATGGAAATAACGGGACAGAATATAACTTTCAAAGGTAGCATCCTCCATATTAATTCAGCCCATGGCAGATTGAGACTGGATACATAGGTTAGTTCCCTCCTCCATACCACGAGGACACCACGCCCTTTAACTTGTGTTTAATAAGCAAGTTTCCAGTCCCCATCACTACAAAGATAGGCCTGTATGTTGGGTGGGGGCAACCTCTGAAGCAAGCATGGGTGCTCCCTAGGATTTGCAGGGGGGGGGGGAATGGTATGTGCTTAGCAGTAATTCTCTGGAGTGTGTTTATTTCAGGACACTGGTTGGAAGGCAGCTGTTTGGCCGGATTACTTCCGCAACTTGCATGAGGATATCCAGGCTTTGGCCAGCATGCTTCAGTCCGACGCTGACCAAGAAGAGCACTGGCACAGCAGCACTTTTCTGTGGTTCATTCCTTTTGTTCATTCCCTCATGGACTTGAGCGGAGGAATCCTCTACATCATGACGGTCGTCTGGCATCTGTGTTCCGAAATCAACAAGGTCTTCTGTGAAGCCACCCACTACTGTGACAAGGTGTCTGAAAGCTTCATCCTGATCCTGGTGGCGGTGGTTCAGCTCCATTTGGCGAAAGGGTGCCTGCACTTGTTGCGGGTCAGCTCAAAGTTCTGGGTGGAGGCCGTGGTGAAATGCGCTAAGCTTCCAAGTGCAGCATCCGCGCACAGCAGCGAGGGCGGTCTCCGAAACTTCCCAAGGACCTCAGGGCCAGTCTCGTCACAGGGACCTTGCTCCATGCAGCTCGTCTGCATGAGGCTGATCCGGAGCCTCTTGAAGGAAGCCTATCAGCAAGGGCTGCAAGGCAGCTGCAAGATCTTCCTCGACCGGCTCAATTTTCTTCTGCGCAACCATGACGTCTCGCAGGGCTGGCAGCTGAGCGCCGAGGACACCAGCGAATTGCAGAAGTGCCTACTGAAGTTCATCGAAAGCATCGACGACAAACAGTTGGCGACTACCTCCCGCGGGCAGAGTGCAGCAGCTTGCGTTTCCCCACCTGTTTTTTCAATGAAGCAAGAAAGAGAAACGGGGGATGACAGGTGTCCGGTGAATCCATCCTGTGAGCAGGCTGCTTGTCCGCCATTAAGGAGTGACGAAGTCTGCCGAGAAGGGCCGTCCCCCAGGAGAGTTTCTGGTTTGGGGGAGGAGCACAGGGAAGTCTCTCGCCGAGACCAAAATCTGCACAAGACCCCAGAACGCCCTGTGTCCAATATAAAACAAGAGCCAGAAGAGAGATCAGTATTGGAAGGCAATCACTTGGCCTGCCCCAAGTTAGCAAATGGACACAAAAATGCCCAGAACAAAGAACACTGTCCCCAAGACCCAGAAAACGAGAGGGAGAGGGAGTCCTCCTATAAAAGCGACTGTGAGCAAGCCTTGCTGAACCTAGAGAGCAACAATAGGGGTGGAAAGGAGGCCAGGTCTAGAACTTCCGAATGTTTGCCGGTTCCTGAAAAGGATCCTGATGGCAGGAATGGCGGCAGCGGATCAGCGGTAAAGATGAGTGTGGATAGCCTTGCAAACATCAAAGTCGTATTGGAGAAATCCAGCCTTACCTCCAAATTAAAGCAGTTTTTTAAAAATAGCAGGAGAGGAACTACCACACCTGAGCCAGCAGCAGAAAAGCAGTTGTGTCTCAAAGATGGGAGCAGAGGTCAGGAAGAGGGGACGAGTGAAATCAGGGGCACTAGCTATAGCTTATTGAATGTGTGCAAACAGGAGCCGAGCTCAGTCGATGCCTCTGAAGACAAGCCGCTCTGCCCCCAAAAGAAATCCGTAGACAGGCTGGCGGAATTGAGAGGTGCCCCAAAAGCAGAGTGTGATTTGGAAGAGAGTAGCAGTGACGACGAGAACATTCCGTATTCAACGATCAGGAAGAACCTGAAGAAAAACAGATCGGCTGCCGCAGCCACCCTGCTGGCAGATTCTCAGATCGACAGAGACCTCAGCAGGCTCTCCCTCGCTGCATACGCCAAAGGAGTCAATTTTCCTGTCGATTCGAGCCAAGAGAGCACCGTCCATGAGCAGAGCTGCATTCGGAGGAAAGTCGGAGGTGCTGTGAGATCGTGTTGTGGCAGGGAGAGCAACCAGTCGTCACCGGATGCTGATGAACCCGGCAATCAGATCATTGTGATTTCTGATTCTTCTTCAGATGAGGATAAGAACAAAATGCATATGGCGGCAGAGCGAGAGAGAAAGCAAGGAGGCGCCAGTCTCCAAAAGCCATCTGACTGTGCCTTTGAAAGTGCCAGAGGCCAAGAGTCGCCCGCTGCCTCCAGTTCCCCTCTGCCAGCTGAAGAATGCGAATCGCAGTGTTTTGAGTTTGAAACCGAGGATGAGATCTACTCCGTCTGGCAAGACAGCCAGGGGGATGAGAAGGCGGCAGACCCTCCAGAGCAGCAAGGCCTTCCAATAAAGCCAAGAAGCAGCCATGCACAATGGGAGACTGGAAGGCAAACAAACGACCGAGGTTATGATACCGACTATATTGGGGAAGAGGTTATTGAAAAAGCAGCAGAGGATTTTGAGCAACAGGTAAACTCGAAGAGGAAAGATAGTAAAGCTGAAACGCCCAATAATGAAGCCGTTGTCGGCAAAGGGAACGCAAAGGATTTCACAGAGGCGCGTGCTAATGGTGGAGGATATGCCAGGCATGACAATCCACTTTTGCTCAGCCCGTCCACAACAGCGGGTCCTTCAGCATCAAAATCTGCTAATGAGAAATCAAAAACAAGGCCAGCCAAAAGTCCAGCAAAATCCCAGCAGCTTAAGATGGGTCATAAGAGAGCCGAGAAAGGAAATCTCAAGCCAAGCGCTCTCAACAAAAAATCACCACAGACCAAATCCTTCAGGTCTGCCCCTGCCGTGGTCCCACCAAAGAAGGTCCATGGGTATCCTCAGCCGGCATCAACGGTGGAAAAACTGGGCCTGAAAAAGGCACCCCGCAAGGCAGCTGAGCTCTCTCAACGTTCGCTAGACTGTCTTGACGAATTGCGCAGCTATGGCAAAGCCGCTGGGGAGTTGGGTTCTCCTCAGCAAAGAAAGTCTAAATTAATTCCAGCACAGAGTCTGGTGGATAAAAACAGGAAAATGCTGACTTGCCAAGATCTGCAGTTCTACAGGCAGTCAAAACCCAAACTAAAAGAGAGAGGTCGACGTATTCATGGAAGAAATCCCGAGACAAAGCCCCTCAAAATAGCCAAGAAGGTAGTTCCTAAGCAGAGTCTCCCACAAGTAGCAAGGGGGGCTGCTAATGGATTTCAGAAAGAGAGAGCTGTGTGCTCCAGTAGCCCCTCAAACAGTGAAAGGAAAAAGTTGTGCCAACGTCCACTGGAGAGGGAGGAAGTCCAGCCCACATCTGTCTCTCCAGTGAACAAGGAGTTTTCATTGGCTGGCCAGTCTACCAATTTTGATATGAATGTCGTAGAAAACACAGCAGTTGTCACACCTTTTCTAGGCAATTTAGGTTCCACTGTAACTGGCGGTACGAAAACGGACTTCGTGGTCTCTTCCTATTTCTCCTCTAGCCCTTGTGATAAAGCCGTTTCAGAAGAGACAAACTCTAAATTAAGCATGGACAACGAAGAGGATAATGACCTGTTTTTAACACAGAGAGCCCCAGTGGATATGGAGGTATGTTCGCAAGTGGAAAATGGCATAATTGTGGTAGAAAATGTTCCTGAAAGCCCCTTGCAAGGTCACTCCTTAAATACTGACATGTGCAAGCACGTCGGGTGTGCTGAAAAGGTTAATAAAGCAGGAGCCTACTGCACAAAGCATTCTGCTCTCGCTCCACTGGATCATGTCTTTGCCAAGCCTCTTCCCCCCAAACCTTCAACAGCAAAAATCTTCTGCTCCACTTCTTCAAGGAGTGCCAACCTCACCAAGGACCTGGAGAACTTTGACAAGACCTCCCTGGTTCTGAAGAGCAAACCTGCCTTGAAGATGGATGGGATCAAGCGCCTGTCGTTCACGAACGTTCTCGGGCCTCGGAATTCAAACAACGACCCCCAGTTCCAGAACATGCGGAGTAACCGCATTGCGGAAATTGCCAAGGCTCAGCCAACCCCAGGGATCCATGCTGGGCAAGAGAGGCACCTACACTTCCCACAAGTAAGCCATGTTAGCGCTCAGAAGAGAGACTACAGCATTTTCAACAAAGAGGTCCTAAGGTGGAACTATGACATGTTTGCGAGATTCAACCAGTTTGGGGTGCCTGAAAGCCTCCTTCAGTCGATCGTGGCCCCTATTCCGGCCAGATTTAAGGGTTACAACGACTACTTCGATACATTCTTCCCTTTGATGGTGCTAAACGCTTTTGAAACGGTAAGCACCTCCCTGAGCGCTTTGTGATTCAGTTGCCACAATGTCAGTCCGGTGCTGTAGCTTGCTCTCTGCCGAGGGCTCGAGGTAGCTCCCAGCAAATAACCTTAAAGTAGGCACCTTTTTAAAAGGTGTCTGTATCAAAAAGATATCAGTATTTTCCCTAGTTAGCCATGCACAGTGTAATTGGCATGTCTGAATGGTTCAGGACACTGGATGTTCCTTTGCAGCAACCAGGATCGCTTCGCAAAGGAGCCAGGGTTTCATGTGGACTTGGAAGCTTATATTTTGCAATAAAAGCAAACTTTTGACTGGTGTTGGATGGGTGGTAAGCCTGGGTTCATAAGCCGATAAGACTGAAGATCATTTTTCCATCCATAAAATGCAAATTGGGGCCTCTTACTGCTTCAGATTGCCTCAGCGCTGTGCAAGAGAGGGAGGTGGGGCGTGTCCCTCCAGCTTTCGCTCATGGTCACTTTTTGACGCCAGACATCCTGCTTTGTTAGCCTTTTTAAAGGAAAACATAACATGCCTGTTTTTTAAAGCACCAATTTTCTCTTTGAATTGCCAATACAGGAGGGGGGCAAGTTTTGAATCTGATGAAGGTTGAGAGACCCCATCTTCCCTTCCCGGCACAACCCCGAGCACAAATGGAGACTGCGCAAGCGTGCGGTTTGCATATTATGGGGGGGAATGCATCTGGTCTAGCTGAGTCCTTGGGTTTTACATAGTGACTTTAAACAAGCTCCACTCCTAGTCAGAATCCCTGTCTTCAGAATAAGATACAGACGACTTATTACATTTGCCACGTGGGAAGCATCTTGACACTCTACCCGTTTAGAGCGATTGAGAAAAGAAAGCTGTGGGAGGGCCTTGAAGCTCTCGCTTGTCCCTCGTGTTCCTAATCTTCCTGCCCTTCCAGGAGAACACCTGGCTAGTGTGCTGTCTCCTCTGGGACTGGCTGAGTGATTGAACCTCTTCCTTTCTCTACCCTGTAGGGAGAGGGGAGCCCCACGTGGTTTCAAAGCTTAAGCAAGCAGAGTTGAGTGGCTTTCCAAATGGTAACTGTAATCCGTCGCCCAGTGTTCTGCATACAGACACATTCATTACACGGTGTTAACCTGTAAAGCTAGATGAGATTGGTTGAACGTTGCTCATCATCCTCAGCCTCAGGGGCAGAGAGGCATCTCTCTGGTTTTGTTTTGTTTTTTTAACGGGAATCAGCCCTTGTGTGCATGCACGTGCCCACATAGTATCCCGCAGTGTTCTTTTGCCCACCCACGAGGAGGGTGATGTTTTCATTCATCGATCTCACATTTCACGGAGTGTGACTCGGGGGAGCCTCTTGAGCCGGGGGATATGGAGCTGTCACCGGGAGGACTGAAGAGCCCTCGTTCATAAACGGAACATTGCCCCAGTGCCTTGAATCCAGTGCCAGTGGCTCTCACTGCGTATATCCACATAGCCCATTCAAAAGGTGCCCTCCCCACACTGGCATCCCCAAGTAACGCTTGCTGTTCCGTGCAGGTGGCACAAGAATGGCTCGAGAATCAGAAGCCGAGAGAGCAGAAGGAATTTCCCTTGAAATTACTGAGCCTCAGTGCAGACTCCAACGGAGCCGATTTTACAGGTGAGAATTCCACTGGCTTGCGGGAGTCGGCAGTAAAATCAGACTTCTTTAAAGTGGTGGGTAAAAATAGATCAACAGGTGAAAGCTCACGTTAAGGCCCAACAGCTGTGCTGTTGCGTATCAGGCTTCTGCTCCCTGTTTTTCTTCACCACTCCCTCCCTCTTGTGAACAGCCTACTGATATAAGAACATAAGAGATGCCAATGTTGGATCAGGCCAAAGGCCCATCCAGTCCAACACTCTGTGTCACACAGTGGCCAGAAATACCAGTGCCATCAGGAGGTCCACTAGTGGGACCAGGACATTAGAGCAAGTACACTTGAGTACACTTGCACCAGGTGAAGAATTTTATTATGAAGCAAAATAAAAATAAAAATCACACTGTAGTATCCAACACTTACTAAAAATAGATTGCTATTGAGAACAAAGTAGGAAAAAATGAGATCTGAATGGCCCTGTTGTCATCAGGAGATCTGAGCATCCTTTTAGGATAAAAGGAAGCCGCTGTAGCCAATTTTGAGGTCTCTGTCTCCTGCCTCTTCAAGGATTCTGCCCATTACCCTCTAAGCAGTCCAGCTTTTTCATTCATACACTTTCCCCATCCCAGTCTACCCCTTACAGTCAGCTCGTGTGATGCTAGAATGCGTTCCTCAGAATGGGGGTGGGCCAGCAGAAACGCACAGCTCACCTAGCCTGTGTGTACTCCCATTGCCTCCTGGTGACGGTTGCTGTTGTAATTCCTCTGGCTTTTCCCTGTCCCTCACCTAGACTGTGTGAAGCCGCCCTGCAGAGAGTTCCGAAGTTGCAGCGAGGGCAGCTCAAGAAGTCCAAAAGGGACTGCTGATTTAGTGAGCCTGCAAGAGGATTGCAGCAGTGCCTGAGCTCAAGGACACCAGCAGCAACAGAAAGGGGGCTGGTCTGGGAGAGGAGAAGGATTAACAGCAGGCAGGGGCTTCTGTTCTCTGTTCTGGATTGGCCGCTGACCTGGCTGTGTGCATTAGAAGAAGCCGCTTGGTGCTCGTAACTGACCTCAGGTTGCCCGCTTTCCCCCCCTGCAGCAGCCCTTTGGCTTAGTAAAAGAAGCAGCCCTTGGAAGTTCTTTTTATGTCTCTTCATATACCCTTGAAGTACTTTCCTGGACTGAACTTTTCAATCTAGAGAACATATGACTAAGGGGAGACATGATAAAGGCTTCTGAAACGATGCACACGGTGGGAAAAGTGGATCGAGAGAGCTACTTCTCCCTCTCCCATAATACTAGGATTTTCCAAGCAGGTTTAACTCTTTTGTTCTCCCAACGTTCCAAATTTAAATTGTTGGAATGCTTGTAACCCTATTGCCTATGCTTTATTAGACATAGTGACTAAAGAGAATCTCCATATTCGGAGGCAGCAAACCTCTGAATCCCAGTGCTAGGAGGCAGCTTCGGGGTAAAGCCTCTGTGCTCGCTTTCTTTGGCCTTCCAGGGCAACTGCAGAAAACAGGATATTAGACTAGATAGATTACCCGTCTGATCTAGCAGCACTGGCATTCTTTGTTCTTAAGCAGGAATCTTGTGGCTCTGGCTCATGGTGGTTACCTGCTCACACTTCTTCAATCTGGTTTTAAATTATTTCCACAGCTGAAATTCAGGAAATTGATCTGGAGAGTCAGATGCATCCCAAGGAGAGTGACTTGGTCTTCTTAAAGGTGTCCAAAAGACAAAACCCGTACATCGAAGAAAGTGGGATGGAACTTGTACGTTACGTTGGCCTAGTGACACATTTTTCCCAGCCATCAGTCCGCGAAGCGAGTAAGTCAAGAAAGTGACCACCTGCCACTTCGAAAGATGACCGGGGGTCATGGTCCAAGGACCCGAGGAACTGGTTCTGTGTGCCGGACGGTGCTTTGGGCTTCCATTTCCTGAACAGCAGCCTCTGCCCATTCAGTGCCACCTTGTAAACGGCACTTGGCATGGAAGGGGTTGATGCGTCACGAGAGCCTACTGTTCAGAGGAAGCGGAAAATTACACCGGGCACAAGGACCGCTGAATCCTGGCCTGCTCGGGAACCACTGGTTGAGAGTGTTATTAATGAAATGTCTTCATTAATAACAAAAACTCCAGGTTGCTTTGTAAGCCTTAGGTACCACTGAAATCAGTAGGAGCACCCAGGGAATCATGTTCAGGTTCCTTGTTTTAGGCACCAGTCCTGGTGATAACCGGGAGAACCGTGTGCAGTTTTTCTCTTTGTATGGATTCATTTCACTTTGGGTCCACAGCATGATGGAAAGGTGGGCTTAAAGCTTGCCCCAGTGCCAGTTTCTTGACCTGAAAGTGCCCCACGGAGTTGCTGTTTGCCCCACTTGGGGCAAGCATATAACTACCCATATCAAGGAGCTGTGGTGGCTCAAGTGGTTAAGACGCTGAACTGCAGGCTGTGGAAGGTCGGTAGTTCAGCAGTTCGAGACCCGAGTGTGCCGCATGACGGAGTGAGCTCCTGTCTCTAGTTCCAGCTCCTGCCAACCTAGCAGTTCGAAAGCAAGGAATTGCAAGTAGATAAATAGGTACCACTTTGGTGGGAAGGTGACAGCGTTCCGTGCGCCTTGGTGTTTAGTCATGCTGGCCACATGACCACGGAAACGTCTTCGGACAGCGCTGGCTCTTCGGCTTTGAAACGGAGACGAGCACCGCAACCCTAGAGTCGGATTTGACTGGCTTTCGAGCAAGGGAACCTTTACCTTTACCCATATCAATGCCTCACTGCTCCCCAGTGCAACAAATACCAATTCTGCTGGATTTTAGTGCTGGGTAGAAAGGCTCTTCCACCCCATGTGGGACAGATCCAGACTGAACTTGGGAAAAGTTCTGAGCGCTCCAGTCTCAGAACTCTCAGCATCGCGTCTATTTTGGCCTCGTGGGGTGGGGGAGGGGGGCACCAAGAGCTGTGCTTTTTACTCCTGATGTCTGGAGTGCATCCTCATCCTTAAGAGGTAAGGTCTTGCAGAACTAGCATCCATTCACAACAGCTTCATCCTCCTGTCCCTTCTCACCCCTCTCCATTGAGTGGCTTTCAGAGGTAAGGTGCTTTCCAGCTGCCTTGGATAAGACAGACTTCTAGATGAAGGTGAAACTCAGATTGTCCCGAGCTGCTCTGCTTGAGTAAATGTTTAAAATGTGTGAAACCTTATCCCTTGAGGAAGCATTGCTCTGGAAATGCAGTGGGCCCGCAGCTGTCGTTTCCCTTGGATGCTCAATCCGTTTATTTGATAACAGTTGCTTGAGGGGCGGGGGTGGGCGGGCCTCTCAGGCCCGTTGAACTGTTTGATCTGCTGGAATAAATTCCTTGCCATTTTTTTGGGTGTGTGGCATCCTCACTCAGTTTAGGCATCTGAGCTTAACTATAGCTCTCTAGGATGCCTGTATCTCGACAGCACCATAGGTTTCGATAAGCCAGCCAACTGGAATCAGAAGCCATGGTTTGAAGAGCATTTGCAAATGCTGATTCCTGCCACTTATATGCCGCAATGTCTGACTTGGCAAACCATCGTTGTGGCTTGTTCCACAACCGGAGGCCCCTGCGCCAGAGCCAATGGGGAAACAAACAGAGCTAAACCCTAGGTGGCTAGGAGGTGTGGAAGGGCATGCGTGGTTTGTGTTCAGGACCATGGGCAGCATAAATTGCGGTTCAGGACCATGGGCAGCATAAACTGAGCCTCTTGTTTTCTTCCCGTTCAACCAGGGAGGAAAGAACAGAAGGTTGTCTGTCGCTTGTCTATCCAGACACAAGGCAGTTTGTCCTTCATCAGTAAGGAAGCCAGATGCACAGTGGTGAGCTCTCTAGTGACAACGCAGCGAAGGTTCAAGGCGCTCCTTCTGCTGAGCCGAAGCCCTCTGGCCTCACCCATCTACAGCGCATCTTATGCCAACTTCTGCCCAAAGGGCTTAAACATGGACTCCGTGAATGCTGTAAGAACAAAACGACTCGACTTAGCTTGGATAAGATTTATTTTGTGTTGCTTTTGGTGGGCTGCGAACCTCAGGTGGGGCTGGGTAGTAGCACTGCTGTTCCGAAGCCTTGCGGTACGAGGTCTTGGCTGCCTGTCACTCATCGTGTGAAAAGCAGTCACATAGACACAGGCCCTTTGAATTCTGAAAGCTTGCCAGAGAGACCTGGAAAGGGGCTGTAGAGTTGCTGGCCAGCTCTCGCCGCCTGTTGTTCCCCCCCCCCCCCCCCCCCCCCCAGTTGTAGTGGCTCACTTTCTCCAAGGGGCTACTGAGCGATAAAAGAGCCATTGGGGCCCAAGGGATGGGGAAAGGGCTCCACTGCTTTCAAACTCATTGTTCCAGCAGTCTGCGGTCTCTTCCACTGTCTGACGGTGGAGGAGGGAGCCCAGGAGGTGTTACTCTGTTGCTGTGGGAACTGTTCAGGCTGTGATATTTCCCAGATCCCCACCAATGAAGCATGTGTGAAACATGTAGGGGGTCTCAGGGTTGAATTAAAATTAATTCTCCCACTGCACCAATCATTTTCTCATGTTTTGCTCCATGCTCGGTGCATCCCTCTTTTACGTGGTACGCAGTGCTTTGCAAACTGCATCCCAAAACTGGGGTGGTACCTCCCTCTGAGATTACTTAAAACGTGACTGATAAATTTAGTCTTGCCTGCAGAGCAAGTTGGGAGGAATAACTCCTCCTGAATTTCTTCCATCCATCACCTTGAAAGAATTATTCACAGTAAGTGCCAGTGCTCCAGTCATTCTGCTTGTCTCGGTGCTTTTAGATTCCTTATTGGGCAGAGCCTGTGTTATGTGTGACTACTCGTCACATGATGGGTGTCAGATGTAGCCTGGATTTAAGTTGATAAAGGAGATGGGGGAGTCCACGACAAGATCTTTGAGGCCTGATTCACACATGTGTTCATAACTTGATGGGATATTGAGTGAAATAAAAGTCAGGCCCGTGAAGGTGAACCTGTAACGGCTGATGGGACACATACAAAGCCCGTTGCTATATGCTGTAGTGAACCGGTAAGAAGCAGTGTTCCCTCTAAGCTGAGTTAGTGTGAGCTAGCTCACAGTTTTTAGCTTCCGGCTCACACATTTTTGTCTCAGCTCAGGAAGGATGGCTCCAGAGCAAACTAATTTATGCAGAAGCCAAATCGCTCGCTCACAACTTTAATGCCAAGAGCTCACAAAGTCACATTTTTGCTCACAGGACTCCACAGCTTAGAGGGAGCATTGGTAGGAAGTGAGCATCCATTGGGCTGGGCCCGGTCTGTTCTAGCTGGCTGTTAACCTTAGAAAGCCTTGTAAAAGTATTTCCTTCCTCACACACACCATACTTTGTCATGCGGTGAAGATCCCTGTGCTGTGGGGGCAGCCGCTGTTGAAGCAGTGCGTTTTTAAAACCAGCACAGCTAGTCAGTTCTCCAGCGGGCCAATCAGAATCCTTGCTAGGCAAAAGCCCCACCTAGCCCTGCGTACTTTCTGGGAACACTTGGCAGGCACCAGGGGAGATGCCGGTGGGCTCCATGGGGACCGTGTTGGGGACTCCTGTGCTCGGTCTTCAGCTGACTCTCTGGAGGCCAGTTTTAATCTGGGCTCCCTTGGTCTTGAGTTGAGGGCATCGAGGGACTCTCTGTGGTGAGGAAAGGAATCTGGCGGAGGCTTGGGGGGGGGTCCTTAGTCTGAAGATTCACCCCGGGCAGGTAGTCAGGCAAAGGCTCAGTGGAGCCGCAGGAGGTCAGTCACTGTCCTGGTTAGTTATTGTGGCCTGGTGAGTTGGACCTCAGAAGGTCCCTCGGGGGAGGGAAGCCAACAGCAGGGGGCGGGGGTGGTGGTCCTCGTGCCAGAGGGTCTCTCTGCCTCTACAGGCCGGTGCCTGCTGCCCTGCCTTCAGCCCTCCCAGTGGGACACTTTAACTCCAGGGGTAACATTTCTGGCAACTCAGGAGATAAGTGCAAAGTCCTACACTTAGGCACAAAAAAATCAAAGGCACAGATATAGAATGGGAGGGGCTTGGCTTGACAGCAGCACAGGTGAAAGGGATCTAGGTGTTCTGGTTGATCACAAGCTAAACATGAGCCTGCAGCGCGATGCGGCTGCGAAGAAAGCGAATGCAATCTTAGGATGCATTAACAGAAGCACTGTGTCCAGATCACGGGAGGTGGTAGTTCCGCTCTATTCTGCTATGGTCAGGCCCCACCTGGAGTCCTGTGTCCAGTTTTGGGCACCACATTTTAGGAAGGATGTTGACAAGCTCGAGTGTGTCCAGAAGGGGCAACCAGGATGGTGAGAGGGTTGGAATCCAAGTCTTATGAGGAAAGGCTGAAAGAGTTGGGTCTGTTTAGCCTGGGAAAGAGAAGGCTTAGAGGGGACATGATTGCAGTCTTCCAGTATTTGAAGGGTTGTCATGTAGAAGATGGAGCAGATCTATTCTCTCTTGGTCCGGATTGCAAGACTAGATCTAATGGGTGGAAGTTACAAGGGAGTCGTTACTGGCTAAATATTAGGAGAAACTTCCTAACTGTAAGAGTGGTTGAGCAGTGGAACAGTCTGCCTTGGGAGGTGGTGGATGCTCCTTCCCTGGATGTTTTCAAGTGGAGGTTGGACGACCATCTTTCGGGTATGTTGTAGGTATGTAGGGCTATCTTCCGGCTATGCTGCTGCAGAGTGCAGGGGGTTGGACTAGATGACCTGCAAGGTCCCTTCCAACTCTACATTCTATGACTCTAAGCCCTGGTGGGAAAACTTTTTTTCTCCAGTTTAAAAAAAAACAGATTGTTTTCCCCTGGAAATTAAAATATATGCAGTTCTTACTCTCTTAGCAGCCCTAAACTTACTTTACTACTTTAACAAAATAAATGTATTTTTAGATTTTAAATATCATCCACAATGCTACAATTTGGTGTATTTAGGAAATGTAAGAATATAAGTGCTGTAATTTTCTCCAGGCAAAATTATGAGTATACTAGAGAGAGATCTTTGAAAACCGTGGCTCCTCCTGTGTTACCTTAGCTAATACATCTTAGCGTTTGTCATGTGAGAGGCAGGAAAAAATAGAAGGTGAAACTGAAGAGCATAAATTTCACAGTAAGCAAGTGGAGATTTATTATATGCACAGAAACTTGCAGGTGAGATAGGACTGCCCTTACCTGGATGCCAAGTTTCACACTGAAAGCACTCGCATGAACACACTGTGGAATCAGGCCACTGGGTCCACCACAGTCAGTACTGGCAACTCAGTACTGGCTGTTGGCTCCCCAGTCACCTGCTACTTGGTCCTTTTAATTGGAATTAAGCCAGAATTATGAACTTCTCCAGTATGGAGGCCAGGGCAGCAGACCAGGAGGAATGGGATATTCACCATACACACTGGGCAGAAGAAACCAAAGGTCAGAAATCTATCGTGAGTACAGAGGAAGGCAGGAAGCATAACACCATCATTTTCCGGGGGGGTGGGTGGGATGTGACACACCAGAGGGTTCAGATCCATGTGCTGAAGCCGTATAAGATGCAGGGGGCAGAGAGCAGAGGCCACCAAGTTCATAAGTGGGCCAGGATGCAAGCCAGGGTTTCTGTGGTTCGTAGCTCCATCTCCCAGCCATTATGCTACACAGGCTCTCTCAGCAGAGTTTAGGGATTGGTTTGATAGCTCCCGTGATTAATGCTGTGTTGTGTTCCCCGCACCGGGCAGGTTCCTGACATGGCGGAATACAATGAAGATCAAAAGAAGGCCATTGAGACGGCTTATACCATGGTGATGAAGCTTCCCATGTTTCCCCAAATTTGCCTAATCCATGGGCCACCTGGAACAGGGAAGTCAAAAACTATCGTTGGACTCCTGTACCGCATCCTGGCTGAGGTGGGTGAGGCAGATGCTGTTCCATGTTAGCTTATGCGGATGATGAATTTGGAGAAAGCATATTCAAGAGTGACAACTCTAATTTTAAAGACTATATCAGCTGTCTCTGGAATCACAAATAAACCAGTTACCACCAGTGTTTTTCTCTCTCTTTTTAAAAAAAATATACAGAGACCTGAAAAGGAGAATGCTGCGCACAGCCTGAACACCAAGATTAAGCGGAACCGTGTGCTGGTGTGTGCCCCGTCCAATGCTGCTGTTGACGGTTTGATGAAAAAAATAATTCTTTTCTTCAAGAAAAAATGCCAAGACAAAGAAAACCCATTAGGTACAAGCTTTTGCCTAATTCTCATCTAGAGGGAGCAGTTTCTTCATGTTAGAAACTATGCAGTGTTAAATAATTTATATGTTCCTGTGTAGTTTACCATAGGTAGTTTTCGCCCATTTTTGCACCAGATCTTCATGAGGTCTTTTGGGGTTGGGGTTGTATGACAGACCCCTGATGCTTCCCAGTTTGGTGTAGTGGTTAAGTGTTGCACCAGATCTTCATGAGGTCTTTTGGGGTTGGGGTTGTATGACAGACCCCTGATGCTTCCCAGTTTGGTGTAGTGGTTAAGTGCACAGACTCTAATCTACGAGAACCAGGTCTGATTCCCCACTTCTCCACTTGCACCTGCTGGATGACCTTGGGCCATAGTTCTGGTACAGCTGTTCTTGAAAAAGAGCAGTTTCTGTCAGAGCTCTCTCAGCCCCACCTACCCCACAGGCAGTGTTCCCTCTAAGCTGAGTTAGGGTGAGCTGGCTCACAGTTTTTTAGCCTCCTGCTCACACATTTCTGTCTTAGCTCAGGAAGGATGGTTCCAGAGCAAACTAATTTATGCAGTAGCCAAATCACCCGCTCACAACTTTAATGCCAGCAGCTCACAAAGTAGAATTTTTGCTCACAAGACTCCACAGCTTAGAGGGAACATTGCCCACAGGGTGTCTGTTGTGGGGAGGGGAAGGGAAAGGAGTTTGTAAGCTGCTCTGAGATTCCTTTGGGTAGTGAAGGGCGGGGTATGAATCAAATCTCCTTTTCCCCTTCCCTCAGGCAGATTTTCTCGCCAAAAATATTTTTAGTTCCCCTTAGTGACTGAGCAGCCCTTCAGTAGTGTGTATTTCTTCTCTATTTTATAAGCTTTAACTGTCCCACCCTGCCACAGATATTAGTTTAGGCTTATAACCCAACACAGGAACTAGAGGGAATACAGGAGCTCACTTTGGTTTAATATAGTCTCATGAAATGGCACATGAGGCAAAATTAACTTTCAAAAACAGAATAAAGATTTTATTAAACAGGCAGGTAATACATATATGGATATATATCATGAAGATTCAAGATACAGAGGTTTCTGAGGTAAAACTTTCAAATATATATACAGAATTGAGGGTTTTTTTTGAACAAACAAGAGAGTGTTGTAGCTTATTATATATTTCAACTGTTACACAGAATCTTCAATATAGTTTTTTACAGAATAGCTTTGTCTTAGTGCTTCTAGGTTTCCCCCTTCAGAGATCTAGGAATATGTTGCCGAAGGCTTTCACGGCCGGAGTTCATTAGCTGTTGTAGATTTTCCAGGCTGTATGGACGTGGTCTTAGCATTGTAGTACCTGACGTTTCGCCAGCAACTGCGACTGGCATTGACATTGACACAGAGAGTACTCCATCTTTTTGTGTTATACTCTGAGGATGCCAGTCGCAGTTGCTGGCGAAACGTCAGGTACTACAATGCTAAGACCACGGCCATACAGCCTGGAAAATCTACAACAGCTAATGAACTCCGGCCGTGAAAGCCTTCGGCAACATATTAAACAAGAGAGTGTTGTTGTAGCTCTTTATATATTTCAGCTGTTACACAGAATCTTGAATACAGTTTCTTAGAGAATAGCTTTGTCTTAGTGCTTCTAGGTTTTCCCTTTAGATATTATAGCTCTCCAGTAACTCTTGAGGTGTCTAAGCTCTTCCTCTTTATCACAGACCAGGTTCCTCTTCCCAGCCCCTTCCTACTGGCTAGACGTTATTCTTCTTGTCCCTAAGAAGCAATAACTCCTTTTCCTATCTGGCTTGTCTAGGAGTTCTCTCTGACTCCCCAAACCTCCTGCCAAATTCCTCTTCCAGTACTATTTGACTATACGAAGCAGTGTGTTGTAGATTTCTTGACTGAGAATCTGAATTCTCCCTCAGAGTAGTTTCAATATATCTTAAACGACGGAGTCCCTCTTCTTTTCTCTATAGAAGTACTTTTCTGACCATTCCCTGACAGAAATCACTGACTTCCAAATGTCTCTTCCCTCAGAAGCCAAACCCTCTGGCTACTGATCCAGACCCTGGATTTCAGACCAAGACCAAAAGGCGAAAGATCGATTTTCCCCTCCAGATCAGCTGTTTTATTCCCTCTCTCAGCTGATGCTGGCCAATCAGAGAGCAAGTAGAGCAGCCAATCACATAAGCTCTTCTCTCCAGGGAAGATTAACTCCCAGCCTCCCTGACTCTCTGTTTTAAGCAGCATTTTAAAACCTGCTTTGTCTTGCAATCCGTCACAGGTTGTTATTCAGTGGCGGTGAGTGTGGTGTTTGTTTAGAGGTTTGGATGACAAGACCCTTCTTTGCCTCAGACCTGAAAGAGCTCCTGCCAGTCAGAGGAGACGGGTCTGAACTAGGCAGCTCAGTGTCCTGACTCTCAGTGTCAGGCAGTGTTGTGTGAGACCCAGTGGCTCCCATCAGACTCTTGGGTTCATGGCCTGAGAAGAAATAAGAAGGGTGAACAAGATGCTGGTGTCTGCATGCTGCTAAGTACATGAAAATTATTTTGGACAAAAGTTTTTCTTTATAAAAAAAAAAAAAGCCCGAAGATTCAACACATCCCTGACTGTGTCGCTTGCATCCAGGAAACTGTGGTGATATCAACTTGGTGAGGCTGGGGCAAGAAAAGTCCATCAGCGAAGAAGTCCGAAAGTTCAGCCTGAACGACCAAATCGAGCACCGGAAGAGTGAGTAACCGATTAACCTTTAGGGGAGGGGGCGTGGCTCAGTGGGAGAGCCTCTGTTCGGCATGCGGAAGATCTCAGGTTCAATCCCCGGCATCTCCGGTTAAAAGGACCCGGTAGTAGGTGATGGGAAAGGCCTCAGTCTGAGACTCTGAAGAACTGCTTCTAGTCTTGAGTAGACAAGACTGACCTTGATGGGCCAAGGCTCCGATTGAATACAAGACAGCTTTATGTGATTAAGGGTTTTTATTGGCATTTTGATCGTAACCACCGTCTGTGCCTCAGCTGTACTAGGGCATGAGGAGGATGTGCTACCCTAGTGAATGAACCAAAGGAGGGGGTGGACTTAGCCCCACAGCACTGCCACATTCTTCGTCCACCCCCATTTTGCATCTCAAAGTTGCTTGCATCATGTGGAGAGCAATTTCATGCCTGCTAATATGTTATGATGCTAGTAAGTGAAGCCTGCATTCTTCCAGGGGTAGCCAGAAACACCGACCTGCCAGCTTGATGATCGCCTTTCCCTTTAGCCAGTTTGGTGTAGTGGTTAAGAGTGCTCTAATCTGGGAGAACTGGGTTTGATTCCCCACTTCTCCACATGCAGCTGCTGGTGTGACCTTGAGTCAGTCATAAGTTCTTTCAGAGCTGTTCTCTCAAGAGCAGTCCTCAAGAGAGCTCTCTCAGCCCCACCTACCTTACAGGGTGTCTGTTGTGGGGAGGGGAAGGAAAAGGAGATTGTAGGCCATTCTGAGACTCCTTTGGATAGTGAAGGGCAGGGTATAAATCCAATCTTCTCTCTTCTTCATCATCGTGTTAAACTTCAGTCACAGACTAAATCGTTGTCTCACAGAACTTTGATTTGTGCAGAGGCAGAAATGCCTTGCCCCCGGGGCAGCATCCCTTCTTGTGTGTGGCTTGGGTCATGTTCTGTGTTGTGACCATTAAATCCGGCTTCAGACTTTCCAAGCAATGAGAATGTTTTCGACTGTATAACTGAAATTCAGCTTTCTGGGTCCGGCTTGGAAATATCTTCACCACTTTGCAGGGGGACCGGACACTTAAGTTCATTCAAACTGTCTCCCCCTCCCCCCCTCCGTTTCAATTTTTTCTACTAAACCCAGAGATCTGCCTTAAGAAACATTATTCTGACAATTTCAGAGCCATTGGGGTGTGGTGGTTAGAGGGGTGGGCTAGCATCTAGGTGAGCCAGGCTTAAATCCCCGCTCAGCCATGGAAGCCCGCTGGGTGTCCTTGGGCCCGTCATATGCTCAGCCTAACTTATTTCACAGGGTGGGTTGTAAGAATAAAACCAAGGAGGGGTGCATGGTGCAGTGCACTGCTTTCGGGTCCCCACCGAGAAGAAAGGCAGAGTACAAATCAAGTTCGTGAATAAAAAAACTATGCCCATGAGCAGGTTGACCGCTCCTGAGTCCCCAAGTATCTTTATATATAGTTATTTTCTGTGCTCACTATTCACTTTGTTTTGCATTCAGTTAATGTTTTGGCGAGCAAGGGTATAAAAGATTGAATAGAACACTTTTGTCTGATTGGGTAGACAGAGGGAAGCTCGTCCACGACCAAGATCTCCACAAGAGGAAAGAAGAACTGGACCAACAGCTGGACATGCTTTCTCGCCAGCGTGCGATGGAAAGAGAGACGCAGGAGAAGGTAGCTTTTAGTGACTAAAGGTTTTTCTGGATGCCTCCGGGGAATCTCCAGTGGACTCAAGGGGATCCATAAAACAAGGCCTATCTCAGGAGTGTCCCGTCTGTACAGGCAAAAAGTCTTCTCTTTTCCCACATGATGGGTGACAATCAGTCAGTGTGTGCGACTGTGATGGCCAGGGGTTTCCTCAGCTCCCCGTCACACCCTCCAGTAGCAGTGGCCGAGCTGGTTTCAGTTATGGCGTCGATGGCGAGTGCGCAGTAAGGCGATGTTAACAAACAACTGTGGTGGATTTTGTGCTGCTAAAATAGAGGAGTCTGAGGGGATTTCTACTACTTCCCCCCTCCCTTCCTCCTGGAGCGATTCACACCAACACCTTCTTTCACAAATTTAAAAAAAAGCTTTTATTTTCCTTAGAAGGGCTTAGCAGTTTGGGGGATAAGGCAAAGAATGTAACAAGTTATTAATTGTTTACCGCAAGGGAGACGCAGAGCTCTGCTTTAAAGCAGTCACACACGCATGCGGCTTTGCAGAGATAATGCGTTGTTCCTTAGAGAGAGAAGAGGAGGGTTTTTCTTGTAACTTCTCACTCAGCTAAGATCTCAGAACCTTGACATAACGTTAACTTGTTTTTTGTTTCCCTCAATCCCCTCACAAGTCCCTAACCTACTATTTCTCTAAGGTAAACGCCAGATACCTGCTCTATTCCTGCCTCTTTATTGCCCCCTGAGTCCTGGGCACCTGTGCTATAGAAGTCTGAGTTAAGAACATAAGAACATAAGAGAAGCCAATGTTGGATCAGGCCAATGGCCCATCCAGTCCAACACCAGGTGCCATCAGGAGGTCCACCAGTGGGACCAGGACGTTAGAAGCCCTCCCAGTGTTGACCCCCCCCCCCAAGCACCAAAGTTCTTTTCCTTTACTGGGCAAAGGCTTAACTGCCTGTCTGTTCTCCCTCTGAGGTGGAGGACATCTTGGGTGATTCCCACCATCCTATCAGGGAGAGGCAGGAACAAATTTCTTTCTTCCTCTTCCTGCGTGGATTGGGAACGCCCCCTCTTCAGTTCTTTTCCTGCCTCTACAGGGAGAGGTTGTTGACGGCTTTGCCTCCAACTGCTAGCTTAACTATTATAGGATCTTTACTAAATTTAATACTGTTTTCCTGTTAATTTTCACTATTTATCCTTCCTCTGTTATTCCTGTCATTTCATTTCCTTACTTTTTACTCAAAGAGAGCCAGTTAAAGCGGCCTGGTTAACAGGCTGCCTAGCTCCCTTTGAATTATTTCCCTTTGACTGAAGATCATGCCTGGCAGATCGGGAGACGGTTTCCTCTCTGAAGCAGAGAGGGACCCCGTAATTATGGAGCTGGCATCGGATCTCCCCGGAGCCGGCATGACCTATCGGCTTGCCGCGACTACCAGCCACGACCCCGAATTGAGCGGGGAGAAGACGGTGCGTAAGCGCCCTCGTCAGGAGGACAGCGCATAAGCGCTGTGAGCCCAGAGCAGGGGCCAGTAACGGCAGCCATGTTGAGGCGGCAGTTTTGGCGGGAAGCGCTCCTGCGTTCACCCAAGCCGTGCCATTGCCAATTCAGCTCCGGGATGCCAACCTCCAGGCAGGAGGCGTCGGCATCTATCCAACACAGAGTACAGCGAGCCCGGAAGATCCTAGAAGGCATCAGTTGGGTAACGTGCTCCATTCAGCTCCCGATCCCATTGATTTTTTTGCTTCTATGAGGTGATCCATGAGGGAGGAGTTTCTTAATTTGTGTTGTTTGGGAGATTTGGGTCACCACTCCACCTGTATGACTTCCCCTGTACTTCCTCCCATTGAATCCCCTAGACACAGGGAGATGAGGGGTCACTGGCCAACAAAAGTGGCCAGAAAGCAGACGCCCAGGGAAAGGCAGAGAGTCTGAGAGGGAACAGTCACCAGAACCTGACATGTCTCATAGGGAGGAAGGGGAGTTCCTTTCTGAAGAGGAAGTGGAAGATATTAGCGTTCCACAGCTAGCCTCACGCTTGTTTAAAGCAGGACTTTCAGTATGTTCTTTCTAAGTGTCTCTCAGCCCTAGATTTGTATGACCCTGCTCCACAGGAGGAAATGGTCTATCCTGGCATTAATCCTAGGAATAGGACCAAGGGCACTGAGGAGCTTTTCCCCAGATACGCTCTTTCAGAGAAAGTATTTCCATTTCCGGAATTTTTTGAGAGACAACTGAAGGCTGAGTGGGCCAAACCTATTGCTAACAGACAAGCCCAGGGGTTGTTAAAAAATTGTATGATTTACCATCTTTCGCTAATGAGATGTTGCAGGTTCCTTTGGTGGATGCTCCAATAGCAGCGCTCCGGTCCTTTGGTCTCCTTTCAGAAGATGGGTACGGTTCAGTGAGGGACAACCTGGACAAAAAGATAGACATTGCTCTTAAGAGATCACATGAGGCCATTGCTATGGCCATCAAAGCTTTTATCGCCAACAGAGCCATAATTGTCTGGGCGAAAAAACTGATCCAACTTCTTCCAGGTGACAATAGACATCTACTAGAAGGAGTGACGAGGATACTGAAGACGTCAGCCTTTGCCACAGATGCCTCATTAGATGCACTCACCTTTTGTTCCAGAGCCATGTCTTCCGCAGTAGTGGCACAAAGAGGAATTTGGATACGCGCATGGCCCGCAGACCTGCAATCCAAATAATTTGTGATGGCATATCCCTTCCAAGGGGAGAAGCTCTTCGGTGACTACCTGGACAATATATTGGTAGAAACTAGGGATAAAAAGAAGGCTATGCCCAAGAACCTACGCCACTTGGACAAGAAAAACACGTTCATTCCTTTCGTTCCTCCAATTCGAGTTTCAAGCCTAGACCAGGACAGAAAAGGGGCTCCTGGGGGCCTTCTGCCCAACCATTCAAGAAAAACGTCCAGGGTCCACGTTTTGGAAGACAAGCATTCAACAGAACTGACAAACAGGATCGTGATGCAAAGAATAACAAAGCATGACTCAGCACAGATTCCGGTGGGAGGAAGACTGATTCACTTCCAGGAGGCGTGGCTGGAGGCCCAAGCAGACTCATGGACCTTAGAAATAGCCTCCAAGGGTTACTTCTTAAAATTTCTTCGGCCTCCTCCAGAAAGATTAGTCATCTCCCCACTGCGAAAACACCCTCAGAAACGACAATAATGTTCACTGCCTTAAAAGAGGCCGGGGGCGGGGGGGGGCGGTGCGGTGTTATTCGATCTTTTTTACAGTACCCAAGAAGAATGGCGAATGGACGGCCATTCTGGATCTAAAATTTGTAAACAAATTTATCAAATTGAAACATTTCCATATGGAAACCCTCAAAACCATCATAGAAGTCCTACAGCCAGGAGAGTACCTGGAGCCTCTTTGGATCTCACGGAAGCATACCTTCATGTACCCATACTACCACTACACGGAAGGTTCCTGAGGTTCTGTGTGGAACATCTCCATATGCAATTCAAAGCCATGCCATTTGGCCTCGCGACTGCTCCACAGGTTTTCATGAAAATATTAGTCAACAGAGCCCAGGAACTGTACCTACCATCATTTTGTCCAGACCCCAAACATCCTAGAGAGAGGACCTGGCACACCTTAGATGTTCACAGAACCCTAAAGGCATATCTGATCCGAACTGCTGATTTCAGGAAGACTGAGGCAATGTTTGTTAACATTTTTCCCCCAAACCTGGGACACAAGATGTCCAAGTCAGCCATCAGCTATACGATAAAATCTTGCATCACAGAAGCCTACAAAGCTCTTCATCTTGCGGTGCCCTCAGGGGTCACAGCCCATTCAGTCAGGAGCGCATCCACCAATGCAGCCTTAGCCAAAAATGCATTGGTTGAAGAGGTCTGTCGAGCAGCCACCTGGTCCTCTGTGTCAACATTCATTAGACACTATAAACTGAATATCTTCAAATCTGCAGATGCTTCATTTGGAAGGAGAGTTTTACAACACGTCATAGGAGAGGAGACTGATCTCCCACCCACGGCATAGGGTACTGCTATGTAAGTACCCAAGATGTCCTCCGCCTCACAGGGAGAACGACCCTTGGCACTTACGCGGGGTAGGGCGGGGTAGAAATACTCGAATAAATAAATAAATAAATAAAATCTTGCCCCACCCGAGTAGGTTTTTTCTCTATTTCTATGATTGTGTCTCAACTCTGAGTGTGGCTTTTATCTACTCTATATTTCTGAGTTTACTGTTTATGTATATAGTTCTTTCAGGGATCCGTGATCCTCACGCTCATTCCCTGGTTTGTTACTATTAACAACTCTATTCTTGTTTACAGTTCTTCAGATTACTTAGTATTAGGAAAGAGAGTTTTTTCCAGTACTGCTGCTGGGAATCCCTAACTGAAGAGGGGGCGTTCCCAATCCACACAGGAAGAGGAAGAAATAAATTTGTTCCTGTCTCTCCCTGATAGGATGGCAGGAATCACCCAAGATGTCTGAAGGTGACCGTAATTTTCAATAAAACAGAATTAATGACAATGTTTTTTGGTTGCATTTATTTAATCAGTCAACATCTGAATGCATATCCATCATGCTAAGCAAAATTACAGACTGCCCCGAGGGGCCAAGCAGAGTCTACAGCCCTGTAAACTTTTGGTAATGAGCAATCTAGGAAGGTTATTGTAATATTAAGACCATACAAGCTTGGAGATATCTAGGAAAGGGCCTGTATGGAAACACAGGCCTTTAAGCAAGGTTGCACTGTTGATTATTCTTGTTTCAAATATTTCATGGTAGCTTTTCCCTTCTTTCAGAGACAGAAATTAGATGAGGAGATCTGCAGACTTTCGAGGGAGAGGGAGCGACTCGCTCATCAGCTGAAGGAGGTAGGAGCTTGTTCTCTCGTCTTCTCGTACAGGCTTACTCAAGGTAGGGCCATCCTTTGGGTCCCTTGGCCTCCCACCCTCTTAGTAGATTGAGTTAAGGCTGTTCACCTTCAGCTAGTCCATTACTGACTCCACAGAGATACCTAATGGACTCAAGTTGCTCTGGATCTGTTGTAAAGAAGAAACAGAACTGAGGGTCATCTGAGGGTTATCGGGGTGATGGCTCACGAACTCCAGGAGGCCTCTCCCAGAAGGTCCATGGAGCTCTCAAACAGATACATTGGAACCCTGTGGGTCTGCACAGCACAGCTGCCACAGGGTTTAATCTTCAGAAGTCTGCCTTTAATATAGAATTGCCCCAACCTCCAGGTAATTCAGAAAGGATACCATGACTGGCATTGAACATAGCTGAAGTCCGGATTCCAGAATCCTAGTAGGCAGTGCAGAGGCGGCAGCTGTTTCTTTCTCTTCCAAAAACTGAACCCCCTGAAAGCTGTGTCTGCCTTTGCAGTGCCTACCTGCCTCTCCCAACTCCACATACAGACGTTGGCCCAACCCTGACATGTGGCTTGTTAGGCTAGAACAGTGGTGGCGAACCTATGGCACGGGTGCCAGAGGTGGCACTCAGAGCCCTCTCAGTGGGCACACGTGCCATCGCCCCAGCCAGGCCCAGACCATCATTAAAGTGTCGGATTCTCTGCCAAATAATTTTAAGTAAATGAAAGCATTTGGGATTGGTTTCCTTACTTTGTTTGGATCACCTTAAGTTAATGTATGAGTTGTTTTTTCTAAAGTAAACCCTCAGCATTCAGGTTAAATTGGAGTGTTGGCACTTTGCAATAAATAAGTGGGTTTTGGATCGCAGTTTGGGCACTCGGTCTCTAATAGGTTCGTCATCACTGGGCTAGAAGAGGCAGTGTGGTGTAGTGCTTAAGGGTATCAGACTAGTATCTGGGAAGCCCAGTTTTGAATCCCTGCTAGTGCCATGGAAGCTTGGGCCAGTCACACTC